CCCCCCCCCCTTCAAATCACTATTGGACCATGATTATGACCAAAAAATCCGAACCTCATTTCCTCGGGCGGCCATTTTGTGCCGGTAGTCTCAACCACAATGTATCCTTCTTCTGCATCCGGGACCCGACAGTCCTTCCTTGAGTCATAGGGTATGGATTGATCTGAATGGATAGACATTGGGGCTTTTAGGTAAGTTAAACCTATTTGGGTATGTCCTACTTGGGTATATAAGAGGATTGAGGAAGAGACTATAAAGGAAGTAAATTCGCTAGAGTAGTAGGTTGTTCAACCATTTGATTCACTAATGCTGGAAGGTGGGAAAATGAAAAATTTTCAAAACTTTCCATCCGGCTTGAGAAAACGTCAGAAAATTCTCCATACTCTTCTCATTGCTAAACTTGTGTTTATTATGACCCTCTATGGATTTAAGAATTCAGTTAGTTTAATAGCAAAAGCGCTCAGGTCTACAACATACATCTTACAATGGTAGTTCTTGCTATCTAGGTATTTCTACAATATCCCTTCTACGAATTTCGGCTTTTATGGGAAATCAATTAGCCTTGCAATCAGCGGGCATGTTTACATCGTATATTTGCTCTCCTTTGAGAGGAGAATAAGATGGTGGTTTTTGTTACCAACAGTATCCCTACAGTACCACTTCTTCTTCGGATTTGCTTTATAGAAAAAACTAGTTCTAATACCAACAGCGGTTATGATCATATCATATATTTGCTCTTCTCCTAGAAAAGATCTTATATTGGTGGTTCTCGCTGTCTACAGTATCCCTTAACCAACCAGATGCTTTCGTAATGACTGTTGCGTAATCTAGTTGCAAGAGCAATAGAAGCTTTACGAATAGAGAGCTCATGCAAAACTAGAGGAGTTACCGTAATCACATGAGTAGAGGGACACAGAGTGGAGTTAAGTACAGTAATCAAAAGGATACGGTAGAACTGCGGAAGTTATCAAGAGGCAGGAACGTGAAGCATGCATAAAGAGAACAGAGTTACAGAAGTAGTATTCAAGGACCCACCTCGAGAGCCTGCTCTCTGAAACGGCGCAGGTACTGTCCATTCGGGGTCCTCTTCGTATTCTAAGGCCATGGTTGCTATGTGTTCGGATAGAGTATGTTATGTGGGTGTCCCGTGGCAAGACGAGCCCAAGCTGTGCCAAATCGTCGGGGCGGACCCTTCTCCTAGTCTCGGGGACGGTGACATTTGGCACTTCTCATCTCTCTGCTTCTCTAGTTCCCGAATACACTGTAACACATGCCATACGGCGTTGATTTCTGTCGCAGTGGCGGTGTATCTGTGGCAATAGATAACTTGCCACAGAGATCACTTCATTGGCGACAGATGACATTGCTGATACCCTCGCACCACACCAAAATACAGCTCTGTAGATTTTTTGACAATAACAGTCAGCTGGATATTTTGTTAGAGTTTTGAAATCATGATCGGATCAAGGATTGTGAATTCCAGCACGTATTACGTGATACAGATGTGAGGAGAAGTTCGATTAAGGCACTGACATTTGCATGGAAGTTGTTCATATATGGTGACACACTAGTAGCGTACCCAG